GGTTTCTAGTCATTCATTGTTGTACTTTTCTCCCTCCCCCCCAATTCACTCTTCTCCTTGAAAAGAAAAAGAAAAACTGTTTCATTGTTATGCGATCCCTCCTCCCCCAAGTCCACTCCACTATGCAGCCTTCACTCTGGACTTCTGTAATGACAAGAATACCCATTCATATGTCCCTTTCAAACAGTTCTCTCCCTGTTTCAAAGCAGTATACATCATTCATCCCCTCCTTTTCTGTCTTCCCTGACCCCTGATGTCAGTCCCATTTTACAACAGTGGCCCTATGTAATATTTGTCCTTTTGTGACTGAGATATTTCACTCAGCATAATGTCCTCCAGGGTCATCCATTTTGCATAATATTTTATGAGTTGTTTTTCAGTGCAGCATAGTATTCCATTATGTGAATATACCAGAGCTTCTCTATCCATTCATTTGTTGATGGGCACTTGTGTTGTTTCCAGCTCTTTGCTATTGAGAAGAAAGCCGCAATAAACATGGGTGTGCATATATCTGCTTGGGGGCTTCTTTAGGGTAAATTCACAGTAGTGGAATTGCTGGGTCAAATGGTATTTCTATTTGCAACTTTTTGAGAAAGAACCATACAGCCTTCCATAGTGGCTGCACCATTTTAGACTCCCACCAACAGTGAATAAGGGTCCCAGTTTCTCCACAACCTCACAAGCATTTGATGTTTGCTGTTCTGCTAAATTTTGCTATTCTTACTGGGGTGAGATGATGTCTCATAGTTGTTTTGATTTGCATCTCTCTTAGAGCTAGGGATTTTGAACATTTCTTCATGTGTTTGTTTGCCATCTGAGTATCTTCTTTGGTTAAGTCCAACTTTTTAAGGAAGCACCATACCATTTATCACAGTGGTTGTATAATTTTACATTCCCACTAACAGTGGAACAATTCCAATCTCTCCACATCCTTGCCAGCATTTATTTTCTGTTTTACTGAACTTTGTTATTATTATAGCATTTACATCTTACAAGCCCACAATACCAAAAGTGAAGAAAAACATTTTTCCATTAAGCCAAAGTAAACTGAGATCAAAGAGTTCAAATAAAAAGACAGGCTACTACAGCCCTTTTTAAGAGCACCAGAAGAGGATATCTACAGGTGTAACTGCCTTCAGTTCTGAAGACCTTCCCCACCCTAGTTAAAGAATTCCATGCCCACAACTGGCTACCTACTGCATTTGCTCGATGATTAAAGGCAGAGACAGCAAACAGGTTTGAATGAGGTTGAGGAAAGATGAAGGAAATAAAAGAAAAACTCATAAAGCACAACAGAGACACCAAAAAACTGGGAAAGGAACTTAATTTTTAAAAAGGCATGTAGAAACTCAAAGTTAAGAGAGAGAGAGAGAATAAGACCATGTTTTCTGTCAAAACAGAACTAGAAAGAGCTTTATCACAATGGTGGCAAGACAAATTCCTAAAAGAAGAAGGGAAACAGAGCAGATTAGCAAATGTTTAGGGATGGTGAAAGAAAGGGAGTACAGTAAGGTTTTGATAAGATGGTCTAAATATTGGCATTATAGAATTTTAATGACTGTAGAGCAGGGTCATCCTGGAGAGGGTGAAACCAGGCAGCTCCTTGGAGGCAAAGATTTTGAAGCTTTGTCTCACATACTTTGGGCATGTTGCAAGGGGGGACCAGACCTTAGAGAGGGACATAATGCTTGGAAGGGTGGAGGGACAGGAGAGGAGAGGAAGACCCTTGATGTGATGGATTGACTCAGTGACTGAGATAAAAGGGGTAGGTGTGTCAGAGACAATTAGGGTTGTTCTGAGTCACAAGAGACTTGTCAGAACATAACATATGAGTGACTGAATGAAAAATAATAAAAAAAATATATAAAATGCTATACTCATGTGCATTGGGGTGTCCTTTGACCTCAAATGAGAATCCCACAAACCAAATCAGATAGTACATATGAATGAAAATCCAAACCCTAAATAAATAGAAAAATAATTCCATTTTAACTCTGTAATATCTAATTATTATAACTTGTAAAACAAAATATCTCACCTGCTTATCTTTAAAAAGATTCTTTGTTTTAGTCTTTGTGATATTATCTATTTATCACATCTTTTATTAGTAGACAAAATATTAAGTATGAAAAAAAATGGTATGACTTACCTGTAATGAGCCAACAGGATTAAGCTGGTTCTTTGTTTGCTTGGAAGACTCAGGCATTAAGGGGTCAGGAACTGTAAAGCTAAACATTTTTTTTTAAGTGTTATGAAATGAAATGGTTTTTATAAAACATTTTACGTAATTTATGAAAAGCATTTTTGTCTTTAAATTCTGATTTTCCTCTTGCCATTCTTTCTACCTGAACTGCCCTTTTTTTCTGACCTCTTCTATGAGTACTCAATCGACCCATCATCCAAGGTGTATCTTAACTGCTGCCTCCTCCAAGAAGCCTGCCCCTTCAGAAACTTAGGGGGCAGCAAGTTGATATTAATAGGAGAGGAAAAATTCAGAAAGTAAGGGTCAGAGTGGCTGCACAACTTGAAGAATGTAATCAATGTAATAACTATACATGTAGAAATTATTCAATAAGATATGTTCTGTATATATTTGAATAATAAAAAAACTTTTTTTTTCCTCTCAAAAAGAAATTATCCTATTACCCCAATGGAACCAATTATCTTCCTCCTTTGAATCATTGGTTCTTGGGACAATTATTTTATCATAAATTACACTCTCTTAAAAATACATGTATTTACCTACCCTCAACATCCTTTCCACTGTTCATACTGTAATCTTCTTAATGACAGGGTAATGATTTATATGCTCAAGGAAAATGCATTTAAATAAACTAGAACATTGTCACAGCCACACAAAGAAGGAAGACTAATAATCAGCCAGGAAATTTAGCCAAGTAAAGTGATACTGCAGATTATATACACAGATACATATATATATATATATAGTTTTGATAACACAGATCACACACACACACAGGTGCCATTGAATCAGAACCTAGCTGAGTCTCCAACTTTTCAGAGGCTGTAAACTGCACAGAAGTTTGTCTATCTTTTTCCCGAGAAGTAGCTGGTAGATTCGACCTTCCTGCTTTGGGCTGGAAGCACAACTCCTTATCCACTAAGTCACCAGAGTTCCTGTTTTTTATATATATACAAGTTTTTTAAAAAATCAAGGCAACTAAAGGTGAAGTCTTTTTGATGTATCATCTGGTCAGTTCTGGGATAATTCTCTTAGATTTATACCCTACTGCCAGAAATAGACAGCCTGAATGAAATCTTGGTTTCAGTATGTGGGGTTTTGGATTAGGGAGGTAAGCGATTGCTACTAGGGAGAAAGAAACGACTGTATTTACTTGGAAATTCAGAACCTAATACCAAATAAGCTGCATTCCAAGGTCATACCACCAGGCAAACGAAGAGTCATTTCTCCATGACAAATGAGGCTTAGTTCTTGCCACTTCAAGTTTCTTTTTTAACTGCTAGAATTTCAAGTTTTGTTCATAGGCTGATGAGATACAGATATTCACTTACAATGCTGCATGCTGCGAAGCTACCCAAATAATTGTGATGGAGAAGTGAGAAAGCCTCGGTAGTAAATCAATCTTTCTAGGCCTGATTACAGCTTAGTAATTCCCATCTTATCTGTCAAGAAGCACAAATACATAGTAAAGTTTGTTAGCCTCCTTTATGCTGACAAAGTGAAGCTCAAGTGCATAAAGAACACTCTGTACGTTCATTTCTACCAACATATTCAACACTTTGTTTTGTTGACCTTTGAGCAGCACAGAAATAGCATGGTCATCACTCGGGAGGCTGGGAGGGGTGGGAGAAACATAATACCTGCTATGCCATTTGGCATGTCTTGAAAACTAGCATAAATCAATTACCACACATGACCTTAGAGAATCAAGCATCATATGAGAGCTAAGCCTTGTTTTGGACAAGTGCTTATCTACACAGTTGCCATGGCACTGGTAGTTCTTAGCTGTCCAAAAGGTTTAGAATGACTTAGAGGGAGGAGCACTGAATGAGAACCCAAAAATACTCCTCAGCCAAAAGGGTGCCAAGGCTAGAGAATGAAAGACCCATCTTAAATTCCTATGCTCCTATGCTGAAAGCTATGACCCAATTTACCATACTGTACTCCAAATTCCTCCAAAGGAGAATCTGAAAGCATGCCATGCTACAGAGTGGGCCAATGGACACCAAAGGGCCCTAATGCATGTGATGCATGAGATGCTCCAGATCCAGTCATCTTTCCAAAAGAACCTAAAGCCGTAAAAGAAAGATGTTTACTGGCAAAGACTTATCAAGAACTGATATTCCACTTAACATTCTCTTGCATTGGTATCTATGCTATGCTATGCTATAACAAAAAGAAATTCTTTATCTTCTGCATTCAAACATTAATTCCTAAAAGAGTGATGTTAGATGATCTGTCTCCATCTTACATTTTGTTTTCTTGTAGAAATAATCCTACTTAATAAATAGTAAGATACTGGCTGGAAAATGTTCATTTTCTATTGCTGCATCCCTTCTGGTAAAAAGAACAAAAAAAGCCTCGTTCCCTTAATAATTCTTTGCTGAACTTAATTTCTTAAAGCATTAAATGGATGACAAGGAAATAGAATGTTTACGCTAAGATACTCTACCAATAACTGTTCACCCTTGTGAGTACGTTCAAACCTTCAATCTTACCTCTGCCAAGATATTTTTGAGCTGCAGAATACAAAGAAATTTAGCTCACCAAATACTTGCATTGGCTTTCAGAATGTTTATGGCAGCCTCTGCAGCTCTGTGTTTCGCCAGCTTCTTACTTGTACCTTCACCTGAATTAAGGTTTGAAAAAAGAAAAAAAGATCTTTATGACAAGATTCTTTATATCCACAGGCATTTCCTTACTACAAAATGAAATAATTATATAAGTTCTAGATGCATACATATACACAGTAAAGTCACACACTGCACGTTTTATACATTAAAATGCCCACTATTTTAAAAGTTGTATATATTTAATTCTATAAATATATATAAAAGACCTTTGTCATCATTTCTCTACTATATCTTTACCGTACAAAATTTTAATCAAGTAGATCACGTCACATTTCCTGAAAAAAATAACAGCATTTTATCCTTCATCCCTTCTTGCTGTTATGTGCTGTTGAGTCACCTGTGACTCATAGCGACCCTATACAACAGCCCCAAACCGTGCTCTGTCCTGTGCCAATCTTATTATCTCTGACACACCTACCCCCATTACCCAAGCCACTTGATCCCTAGAGTAAGAATACTTTTTTTGGCAGCAAGAATTGATTTCTTAAATAACAACAAATGGGTTCTTTTAAAAGAGCTACTTGCTGCAAAGCTATCTGACAACAAAAGGTGCACAATTTCTTTTGACAGCCTATCCTATACTGGCTCAAACCCTTGGGCATTCAGGACTACACAGTGGGCAGACTAGGGAAGTTTTCTATGTAAAAGGTGAGCTTATGTGGATTTTATACAATCCATACAAAGGTATAAAGGAAAACTGACTAATCAGTAAGCAATCATACTTAATAAATGGTAAAGTTATTTACTTCTATTCAAACTAGGTTTTGAGAAACTTTCCAAAGTGGTATCAGACAGAGTGCTAAAATCTATTCCTTTGGTAAGAAGAAAGGAGATAGGGAGGAAATTTCAAGTGTGACACTACGTGTGTCAGAGGACATACAAAGGTGTTTATTTATTCACTAATATATACGTACTAGGGAACAGTGGATCCTGCACACAGAATATAGGTCAATATAAGACTCTAATCTGTGAACTATAGCGTGAAATAAAGAGGAAAAACAGACCTAAAAGTGCAGGGTACAGGGAGCATACTATCATGGCAACTAGCTCCTATATTTTTAAGGATTAAAAAAGACTTTATAGAAAAAAGAGATAACTAAATAGAAATCTAAAAGATTAATAAAAGTTCAGAGAGGAAGAGAACTGGAAAATTGGAAGAATCATTGCAGGCTAAGATCACCTGCAAAGGCTTAAACACATCACAAAACACTATGTTCTCAAGAGTCCAAGTAATTAGGCATTGCTTATTAGAGTGTTAAAGCGCTTGAGAGAAGACAGTTTGGGGGGGGAGAAATTGCAGGTAGAGAGAGAGACCTTGTAAATTAGTGCTTTTTGAAGATTTAGTGTATATAGCAATGACCTGGAAATTTAATTAAAATGTAAACTGTGATCTAGAAGGTCTGTGATGGAGCCTGACAAGTCTATAGTTTCATCAAGCTCCTATGCGCTCTGGATCCCACTTTGAGAAGCAAGGTTGTCTCTCATGCTATGAAATTTGTATTTACAGGGGAAACACTGACTGGATTTTAAGTGGAGAAATTATATGAAGAGAAAGAACTAGAACACAAAGACTAGAAGCTTTAAAAAAAAAGACTAGAAGCTTAAAAAAAATTATCTGTGCAAACAACAAATGCTGGCAAGGTTGTGGAGAAACTGCAGCCACTATGGAAGTCAGTATGGCACATTCACAAAAAGTTGCAAACAGAAATACCATTTGACCCAGCAAATCCTCTACTGGGAATATACTCTAAAGAAACCAGAACTGCCACCCAAGCAGATATATGCAAACCCATGTTTATTGCTGCATTTTTCACAATAGCAAAGAGCTGGAAATAACCCAAGTGTCCATCAACAAAAAAATGGATAGAGAAGCTCTGGTATATTCACACAATGGAACACTATGCTGCACTGAAAAATAAGGAAGTCATGAAATATTATACAAAATAGGTGACCCTGGAGGACATTGTGCTGAGTTAAATATCTCAGTCACAAAAGGACAAATATTGCATAGTGCCATTGTTGTAAAATGGGACTGACATCAGGGTTGGGGAGAGCCTAAGAAAAGAAGGGATGTATAATGTATACTGCATTGAAACAGATGAGGGAGAGAACTGTTTAAAAGGAATATATGATTAGGTGTTATTTTCATGACAAGATTCCAGAAAAAGAAATGCATAGTAAAGCAGACTGTGTGCAGACTTTTGGGGGGGACGGGGGACTGTATAACAGTGAAATAATTTTTTTTTTCAAAGAGAAAAGTGAACTGGAGGGGGGAGTGGGCAGGGAGGAAAATATGCAACAATAAATGAATGGGGAAAATGAAATTGGAAGAACATGCTGAAAAAAATATATATTTATGTTACATTAAAAAAAATTAAAACAAAAGCAACCCTAAACAAATTATCTGTGAGACTATAGCTTTAGTGCAAGTGGTCTGGACAGTAGCAAAGAGAAGAGGAGAGAAACTGATTCAAGAGATATTTGGTTATACATTAGACAAAGAGAAGAAAGGGTCAAAAAGATAAATCTCAAGTCTCCAGTGTAAGCAACTGTGATGGTGGTGCCTTTACTGAGGTAAAGAATATAGGGAAAGTAGGTTTGGGGGAAAAAGATGGGAAATTGAGAGTTTGAGGTACTTTTAGGTCAAGCAAGTGAAGATGCCTATCAAGCACCAGTTGATACGTTGCTCTGTAACTGGGCCCAGACTAAAGATAGACTTCAGAATGATCTCACTTTAGAAGCAATGTAGGCAGACAAGTTTGTACAGGAAGACTGGGGAGTAGGCAAAATAAAGAGCAGGATGGCTGTTGCAGGTCTAAGGTACAATAAAACCCCAACCACCATCAAATTAATTCCAACTCATGGAAACATTCTATCAGGTTTCCAGCACTGTAAATCTTTTTCTTCCCCCCCCCTAAGAAAAGGTAGTTGATTCTGCCATGCTGTACAAAAGGAAAAAGACAGACAAAGAGTGGGAGAATCGGACAGCTGGCAGGGAGCTAAACTGGAACTCTCAATGCTGTAAATCACTGGAACTCTCAATGCTGTAAATCATTATTTGAGAAGATTGCCCCTTTCTCCCAGAAGTGTGAGGTGATTCAAATCACTGACCAACACATAGAACTCTGATAACTCCTTACACTGTGGCTTACGGTGTTTGAGTGGGAGGAATGGGTACTTTCTCTTGAATTTCTCTGAGTATTTAAAAATAAATTGAATGGAGTATCTAAATGCTGACTGTATGGTGCACATAATGAACTTCCTAGCCACTAGCAGCAATCCACCTACCTCATATTAAAAAAAAAAAAGCTTCAAATTTTTCTTAAAGTAATTTCAATGGAAATAGCAGACTCCCACTTTCCAGTGGCAAAATCAAATGTCACCGTTCAGATTAGCAGATGGTTGGAATGTTAGCCTTCTTACCCAAATTTTTTCCCTTGGTTATTTTTCCAAATCGAATAGAGTATTCAGTATTCTGTGCTCTGAATTATATCATCATTTAAAAAAAAACAAAACAAACACATGGAGTAATGTCCCCATTAATAAATTTAGTTATTATGTGCTCAAGTTCATCCATCAATACGAAGTATAAACCTGAACTCTGAAATCCCATTGCTGTCTGACTACATTATGGTCTCTATGAATCTGTTTCTTTATTTGTAAAAGAAAGAATACTATTCCTACGGGGGGGGGGGGGAACAACACTTGTGCAATCAGGAATACTGAGTTTGTGAAGTTTCTGTCTTTCCTCATTTTGCCTAAATTCAAAATCAAGTATGACACAAATGATTCTATGGAGAGCGGGAGTCATTTAAGAAATTCTGGAGTCATGCCTTCTGATAGCTGTTATCCCCTGAAGTGGTCTGGAGAGACGCAGCTAAGGATGCTTCGGGCACCCTTCCTGCTTCTTTACAGTTCTTAGGGGATTATGAAAGAAGCCGTGCAAAAGATCTGAGTGTTTTCTTTCAAGTATCTGAGTATTTCTGGCACTCAAAAGGATAAAATTAAGGAGAAAATCGAGATTAAGGAGATGACGCTGGAATGTCCCAATGACCTAAGATGGGTGTCTCAGTTTCAAAAGTGCTTTGTTCCCCATAGCTGTTTCTGGCAAAAAGGACACATTTCCGAACTGAAAAGCAACACCAAGTCTTGACTGCCAGCCCAAGTGGTCATCAGGGTTAGCTGTGCATACAGACCTTTGCAGGTTATGTCACCAACGGTTACTCTGAAGGTGAAAATGGGCGCATGTACTTGCACATCGGATTTTTCGCATTCATAAACCGGGATGTTCTTGGTCTTCATGCCGTATTCATGTAATACCTGAATAGGTGTTTTCCCTGGCTTTGCTGTAATCATCTTCCCCGAACTGCAAAAACCAGAAAAAAGGTGGGCTTTGCATGCCAAAGTGTGCAGGCAAGCTGAAACACAGAGGCCAGTTTTGACTGACCCCAACAGTGACGGGAGGCGCCTACAGCCAGAGCTGGCAAGGCCTGGGTGCACCTGTCACCCAGCTCCGCCGAGGCGGGCACAGGGCAGGGTGAAGAAGGTCTAAAGGGAAGTAACATGAACGCGGGGAAGGCTTCTCTGGCCCCGCTCAGGACGAAGCCCACGATCCTTTATGCATAGCCTGGGCCTTCTGAGCAGTCGCGACCACGCGCCACCTCCGCCCACCCCAAGCGCCCTGAAGGAGCGAGAGAGGAGGGGCCGGCCGCAGACCCCGGCCCGCGCGCGTCCGGGAGGGCGGGGCCGAGCGAGCGCCGCCCGCAGCCTCGCAGCAGAGGCAGGAGCGCAGAGAAGGGGCTTTACCCAGAATGCCGCGGGAGAGCTGGCTGCCCGGCCCCCGCCTCTTTCCCACCACCTCCCTCCAGCCCGACTGCCCGCCTAGGCTGGGGCCGTGCAGACGCTGACCTGAAGGTCCCGGTGTCCTCGCGCTCCGACGGCGGGGGCGCGGCACGATGCCTGCTCTGAGACTGAGACATGGCGAGAAGGGACGACTCGGCAGAGGGAGAAAGAGCAGTACTAAGCGATATCCTCACTCCAAGGGTCGGCTGATACCCGAGAGGAGCGCTCCAGTGCCGCCGCCGCCTCCTCCCCGCCTCCCAGGCCCCCGCCCTCCCTTGCTTGCGTTCCTTTTGCAAGGGAGCGAACAGAGAGAAGAGGAGGCGGAGCCTCAGCCTACAGCCCTGCCACGCCCCTATGGTCTCTCCCATTCCCAGCCCTAAACTGGATCCCGCCCCACTCCAGTCCCTGCCCCCTTCCCCTGAAGACCACGCCACTTCCTTTAAGGCCACGCCCCCTCTCCCAGTCCCGGGGTTTTCGGCACCTCCTCTCTGGGTCCTTCTCCGCACTTGGCCTTACTGGACTTAACCCGCCTCTAGAATTGATTCTTTGTCATTAAATGAGGACGATTTCTTGCTCTGAGAGATGGCTTGTTTGGGCGGGCTCAAAGTCTGTGGTTTGAAGCACACCTTTAATCACTACCACCACCGCCCGGCAACATTGAGGTCCCTATTCTTAAAGGATTGTGAAATATTGAATACAACGTTGCCTGGTTTGGCTCAGAAGCTTAAGAATGGAGCCTCTCGGTATATCCGTCTCTGAGAGCAGCGTTAGATACTCTTAGCCACCTAAACCCTGCCTTCAGAAACGTCTGGAGACCCCTCGTCACAGCGGGCCCTTTTGTCTAGTAGGCTTTGGTCTTTCGCTGAGATTAACGCCAGTCAACGGACCCGCAAAGCATGTTAGAGGCAAATGAAAGCTTCTCAGTGGACCAGATTTCAATTAAATGGGTTTTGGGCAGAGCCATTTTGTTGATAGTGATTTTGTTTATGTGGGGTATACCACCTTTGGTGAGGGGCAGACAATGACATTATGCCGTGTGTTTTTCTGGGAGTTTTCTATCTACTGGCAACAAAGACTGCCTATGCTTTTTATTGGAGAAGATTGCTTAGCACAATGCTATTTTCTGATGGCTTAGTGCAAAGGAGGTGCGCTGCCAACTCAAAGGTAAGTGGTTCGAATCCACCGGGCTGTTCCAGGTGAGAAAGATGGACAATGTCCTCTTTTGTGATATCCTGCTTCTGAAAACTCGCTAGATGCTCAACTACGAGATGATTTCTACTGGACAGTACAAAACAGCAGCATATTACATATGTTCACTGCTTACTATTCACTAAAGTTGTTTTTATAGCTGTAACACCACATAACTAGCATTTCAAAATGCATTATCGACCATATACAGTACCCACTGAAATATCTTAATAATGAGGTTTGTTTTTATTAAAATTTCTTTTTAATTACAAAATTTCTTAAGAAAATATTGCAAAACTTAATATTATAACTCTTTAAAGGTTAAGAAACTGGGATAATAGTGATGGAGCAACCCCCAAGCCTCCCTTCAAAAAAATCAACCACAGGCCCTTCTCCTCCCTCGTGAACAAGCTGCCGAAAGATTCCCTGTCTGAGCCATGTCAAAGAAAAAAAGGACTGAGTGCAGAAGAAAAGAGGACGTGCATGATGGAAATGTTTTTTTGAGATGAAAGATGTATTTCAACTAAAAGATATGGAGAAGATTGCTCCCAAAGAGAAAGGCATTACTGCAATGTCAGTAAAAGAAGTCCTTCAGAGCTTAGTGGATGATGGTATAGTTGACTGTGAGAGGATTGGAACATCAAATTATTATTGGGCTTTTCCATGTAAAGCTCTTCATGCATGGAAACGTGAATTAGAGGTTCTGGAGTCTCAGTTGTACGAAGGAAGCCAAAAGCATGAAAACCTACAAAAAATATCGAGAAAGCAAAAATTGGTTGACATGAGACAGAAGAACGAACCAAGCTAGCAAAGGAGCTTTCTTCCCTTCGACACCAACAGAAACAGCTCAAGGCAGAAGTAGTAAAATATAAAGAATGTGATTCACAAGTTGTGGAAGAAATACGTCAAGCAAATAAAGTAGCCAATGAAGCTGCAAACGGATGGATAACATATTGCCAATAAAGTCTTGGGTAAAAAGAAAATTTGGACTTGAAGAAAATAAAATTGATAAAAACTTTGGAATTCCAGAAGACTTTGACTACCTAGACTAAGAGGTTAAATGGTAGTATATGCTCTATGTGTTTGTGAATATGTAAATTTCTTTATTATCAAAATAAATATACTGTAAAGTCATTTCCCTCTAACTTTATGTATCATTTAATTTAAATAAAGTACAAACTGGGGGGGGGATCAATCACAAAGTAACATCAGCAGGACCATATTTCAAAGATATATAATCCTTGAGCCCAGCATGAGAGTGAAAAAAAATCTCTTTATAATATAGTCATACAGTTGCTCCTATTGGGAATTGGAAGAAAACTCATTAACAACCTGCATTATGCAGATGACATAACACTACTTGCTGAAACTGAGGAGGATCTGAAGCACTTGCTGCAGAAGGTCAAGGACTGCAGCATTCAATATGGATTGAAGATCAACAGATCCCCACCACTGGGCCAATTGGCAGCATCATAATAGAGAAGAGATTGAGATTGTTAACAATTTCAACTTGCTTGCCTCCACAATAAACACTCTTCGTATCAGCAGCCAGGAAAGCAAAAGATGAATTGTATTGGAGAAATGTGCTGTTAGATACCTCTCCAGAGTACTGAAGAGCAATAATGTCAGTGTAGAGATTAAGGTGCACCTGAGTCAGTCCATGGTCTTCGCAATTACTTGGTGTGCATCAGAGAGCTGGAGAAGAGTACTGAATGTACACCATGGACTACTAAGAGAACAGTTTTATCCTGTTGGGGATGAAACCTGGCTGCTCCTTGATGGCAAGGATTTTGAAGCTCCATCTCACATATTTTGGGCATGTTGCCAGGAGAGACCAGTGTTTGAAGAAGGACATCATATTAGGAAGAGTGGAGGGACTGCACAAGAAAGGAAGACGCTGGATGAGATGGATTGACTCAATGACTGGAGTAATTAGGATAGATGTGTCAGAGACAATGACTTTGGCTCAAGACAGAACAGGGTTCAGGGCTGTTGTACAGAAGGTCAGTAAGAATTGCAAGTGACTCGAAGGCACATAACAACAACATATAATTGCTCCCTATAACAATGGGCTCAAGTGTATTAGAGATGAGGAGAGTGGCCCAAAAAGGGCAAAGCTGAGGCTGATTGTTCATAGGGCTGCTGTGAGTCATAGTCAACTCAAAGGCAACTAACAGCAACATACAGAAACTTATTGGTAGCGTGGCTTTCATAATTTTTTAAAACATAGACATAACTTGAATAATTCACATTAAATACTATTTGGCTTTGTAAGTACAAAGCAGAACTGCCCCATAGAGTTTGCTAGGATTTAAATGGTGATGTGTAATGGTTATGTGTGTAGGGCTGTTAACCCAAAGGTCTAACCTATGGACTGCTCCCAGGGAGAAAGATGAGGCAGTCTGTCATCCAGTTATTATTTACAGCCTCAGAAATCCCAATGGAGGACCATCCCGAGTCAGAAAAGCATAGATGACAATGGGTTTTAGTTAATCTTTATATAAATTAAGTTTCTGTGAAGAGTGTCACGTTTCTCCCCTGAAGCTGCTGGTGGGTTCCAACTATGGACTAAGCTCTTAGTAGCCAAGCACTTAACCACTGCACCAAAACATACAAGAAGGGAGATTAATGAAATGCTGAAACAATGAACTGTGTATCACAGTTACACAAAACCACAATCAACCTGTTTCCCACATTGGGTGAAGCAATTTCCTTTAGACTAGATTCACTGTAAGAGGCTCCAGTATCATAGCCTGTAGCATGTTTTGTTGTGCTAACCTATAAAATAGGTTAAGATTTATTATAGCCTCAAGGAGGAATGTGGGTTCAGGATTGGAGGAAGACTCATTAACAATCTGTGCTATGCAGATGACACAACATTGCTTGCTGAAACTGAAGAAGACCTGAAACACTTGCTGCAATAGGTCAAGGACTATTGTTTTCAATATGGCTTGAAGCTCAACATCAAGAACAAAGATTCTCACCACTAGATTGACTGGCAGCATCATGATAGATGGAGAAGATATTGAGGTTGTTAACAATTACAGCTTGCTTGGTTCCACAATCAACACTCTTGGCACCAGCAATTGGGAAATCAAAAGACAAATTGCATGGGGAAAATCTGCTGTCAGGGATCTCTTCAGAGGGCTAAAGAGCAGTGATGTGAGTCTAGAGACTAAGGTGTACCTGATCCAGGCCATGATCTTTGCAATTACTTGTTAATGCATCAGAGAGCTGGACAATGACCAAAGATGAAAGAAGAAGAATTGATGCTTTTGAGCTGTGGTGCTGGAAAAGAGTATAGAACTACCATGGACTACCAAGAAAACAAACAGGTTTGTCTTGGAGAGGGTGAAGTCAAGCTATTCCTTGGAGGCAATGATTGTGAGACTCTGATATACTTAGGGCATGTTGCCAGGAGGGACCAGCCCTTGGAGAAGAACATCATACTTGGAAGGGTGGGGGGACAGTGCAGAAGGAGAAAACACCAGGTAATATGGACTGACATAGTAACTGGGGTAATGAAGGTAGGTATAATAGAAACAGGGAGATTGACACAGAATAGAGAAGAGCTCAGAGTTATTGCGCATAGAGTTCCTATGAGTCATGGTTGACTCGGCAGCACATAAAAACAACAACATAGCCTCAGAAATCCAATGGAGGATTGGGATCAACTCCACACCAGGAGAGAGTGAATGAGGTTCCCTATAAAGGGTATCTATAGCTAATGCTAACCCTGCACCCCCCATTGCTGTTGGGTTGGAAATGGCTTATAATCGGAACTGACTCTCCCTCCACTGGGGTTTCTAAGGTTATAAATCATACTGGAAGCAACTGTGGAGCAACTAGTGGATTCAAACTATGTAACCACGAGTTAAGAGTTCAACTTCTTACCACTTATCACCAGAGCTCAGAAAATATCATTGTTTCATTGTTCTTCATGGACCAATATGCTCCTTTCAAAACTGACCCATTGTCATTTACAAACTTATACTTAATATTTAAACTAATACTTATTAGCTATACTTACCTGGCAGGGAAGATATTATGATCAGGAAGGTGGTT